CAAATTCTCAGAATCTACAATTATTTCTAAAAGTTTGTTCCAAATTTGGCACACTCTGTTCGTCAAGAAATGGGTTCTGAAGCTAACTGATGCATGAAAGTCATTTATTTCGCGAGGAGTAAAACACTGCATTCTGATTTTATGTTTGTGACCTCTAATGGAAGAACATGGGCTATCTAATTTAACGCTTAACTTATAGACTAGTTTGATAATAAGATTGAAAAGTTCTAAATGGTTTAATATAATGTATAAATGAATAAGGTCTCCTCGTTTCCTTCTGAGATTTAAAGTAGTTAAATCCATTTTAACTAGGCGTTTTTCATAACATAGCATTTAGTTTGAGTATGGTATTTTCGTGGCCCTGCATTGAATTCTTTCAAGCATTAAGATTTCCGCCCCATTTGGAGGGCTCCACGCTGGAGCCGCAAATTCAAGATGAGGTCGCACATAAGTAGTATACAAAGGTTTCCACATAAAACAATTTTTTTAAAACATATAACAACTACTTTCAAAGGCATTTTTTAATAAACCCAGTATTTTTGAAGCTTTGTTAACACATGCTTGTGTTTGATGTTTCCATATAGGTGTTTTTGTACAACCCTAACGAGGTCTGTAGATCTCGATCTAATACACTGGTGGAGAGGTCATAAATCATTCCATTTATATTCGTTGTATATGTTTTATCAATGCCTCGAAGAACATTCTGATTGCTGAATCTAATCACCTTACATTTTTTTCAGTTTAGTTCCATACCCTAGTTGTTGCACCATTTCACAATGTTTCAAGGTCGGTTTGTATTTCTCCTTGTTTATCAATGAAATCTTCTATTACTTTGCTACCTACATTTTAAATGTGTTTAGCACAACTTCTGGCAGGTCGTTTATGAATAGCAAAAAAAGTATTGGACCCAAAACGGAACACTGAGGCACGCCACTGGTAACAAATACCCATTCTGAAACTGTATTACTAATAGCAACTCTTTGTTTCCTTTTTGTAAGAAAACTTTCAATCCAGTCATATATTTTACCAGTTCTACCATATGCTTTAATTTTTATTAATAATCTTTTGTGTTCTACTTTATAAAAAGCTTTTGCGAAGTCAATATATAATATGCATAACGATTTACCTTATGCAGTTTCGAATGTAATTGTATCAATTGTCTCAATAAGATTTGTTGTGCATAATTTGTTTTGAACAAAACCAGTTTGCCCCTCAGATATAAGTTTATTTGAAACTAAGTGTTCCAGAATTGTGTCCCGAACAAGCTTTTCAAACATTTTACAAATCACAGATGTTAGGGATACTGTTCTGAAGTTTTTTGGTTCAAGTTTTGATCCCCTTTTGTAAATTGGTGATATATTTGCAACAGACCAGTGGTAAGGGACACATCCAGTGTCAACGCTTAATTTGAAAATATGAATAAATGGTAGAATGGTCCAAAAAACAACATTTTTCAAAAAAATCTGCTCCATAACCCTAAATGTGTTCTGTATAATACAAAAACACTAGGTTTACAATTTTTTTAAATAAAAAATATTTTTAGCCCCTGACCCTTAAACATTTGACGGGTCCCTAATATTTTGAAAAAAAAGGTTCTTTAAAATATGTCAACCTGTTACTCAAAAAAAAGCGAAATTATATTAAAAAATCAAAAACATTAATAATTTTTTAAAAAAAATAATTTTTTCATTCATTATTGCATAAACTGTTGTTTTAAAGCTGAAAATAAAAAAAGTAATAATTTCCAAGTTTTTTGTAAATAATTTTTTTAAACGTTTAATTTATGTAAACTGATTAATATTTTTGAAATTTTAATATAATTTCGCTTCTTTTGACTTTCTGCAGCATGTTTTAAAACAAACGGACTGATATCATTAAAATCCATCGCTTTTGACTCATCTATACCTTCTAACATTTAAAGAATTTTTTCATAGGTAATCATATTAGGTAGATAGCTGCGATTACGCTGGTTTTCGCATCTTTGCAAGATCTCGGGTATTGCTTGTTCATTATCATTAACAAAGACTGGGTGAAATTGCTTATTTAATATATCTGAAATGTTTGATATTTCAGTTGTAACTTGATCTTTTTTATTCTTGATTATTCTAATTTGCAATTTAAAGTTTTGTTTTCTGTTTACGTATGAGAATAAAAGTTTTTGTGCAAGCTTTGCTCTCTTTACTAAATCTATTTAGTATTCTTGAGTTGATCTTTTGATTTGCTTTTTAACATTAGCACACATTTTGTTAAAAGCCTTTCGAGATTCTTGACTTTGCCGATGCAAATTCGAATATAATATAGAATATTTAACCTTTATTGCTTTTTTAACTCTTGCATCCAACCAGGTTTGACTGTTTTTTTTTTTATTATTCAAAATAGGAATAAAAATTGACAAGATTCATTATATGTATGCAAAAATAGCTCATAACATTCACAGGCTGATTTTTCATAAAATAGCTTGACCCAGTTACTTGTTTCAAGTATTTACTCTTTTGAAAAAAATTACCTTTTTTTAAGCAAACGTTATCTTTTATGAGTACTGTATTGTCACTAAAACTAGTAAAATATTGCAAAGTGATGGAGTAATGGTATCTTTCCGTTTCAAATCAATGCAATTTGGGTTGCATACTAAAACAAGATCAAGGGTTTTAATTGCAGAAACAGAGTCACTTTGAATGTTGGGAAATTTAATATTTGGTATAGAGAATAATAATTTAAAACTTTAATAAATTCATGTTCAATTAAGTTTTTATTTGAATGAATTATTGGACCATCATCTGTCCATTCTATATTAGGGTAATTAAAATCTCCTACCACTATGAGATCAGTGTATTTTTTTCCACTTTTAAGTTTTGAAACGGTTCTGATTGAGTCTAGAATCATTTTTGAGTAATCAGGTGTAGAGTTTGGTGGTCTATATATACAACCAAAAATTACTACACTTTATTGAGAATAAGTTAAAATTCTCTATTAATGTAATCATTGCGTAAGAAAAGATTTGCAGTGTTTCACAAAGTTTGAAAGATCATGATCAGTAATGTACTCACAACCGTTCCTCATTCGTTTTAATATATCGTTATTTCCGATGTGAGATGTTTCTTCTCTTGTAGTATTCTTGGTTTTCGAGAATGCCACTCAACAAGGATTTAGAAAAGGTGAATATTGGGGTAAAAAAAAATATCATAGGGATAACTAAAAGTCTAATAAAGAATGATAAAAATTAACTTTGTCCATCATCAAGGTAAACTCTTCTTCCTCCCCCAAATACTTTTAAGTGTATTTAAGAATCCTTTAAAAATATCTGCTGTCACCTTTGCGTCATTTATTGCTTCACTATGGACTTTGTTTAAACAACTTAATGCTAATATTATGGTTATGTTACGGCTTCTTGATAACAAAACACGTTGATTTTGGCTTTTTCTTTGGAGACCATATCCGTGGTTACTTATCATATGAAGATTAAACGGACTTTCATCAATATAAAAGATATTTCTGTAACTTTACTGCAATGTCAAGTTTAAATACCATGAAACATAAGTTTTTCTTTCTTCTTTTACCTCTGCAGTATTGCGTCTTACACTAACAGGTCCTAAAATTTTATATGTATAATTCAATTTTTTTAACCATTGCCATAATGTAGAGACATTGACATCAATTCCCAATTCTACCTTTATCTCCTGTAGATTACAATTTCTAATATCTCCAATTAAATCATGTAGCTTATTTCTTGTTTTCTCAGTTTTTCCACAACAATGATTGACAAAAACCACCTCTAGTACCAGGATTGAAATTACCTGTTAATATATCTAGGGACCAGGCGTCGTACTGAAGTCTCATTTCTTTAGACGACTTCTTTTACACTATTTTCTTCAATAATTACAAGTCTAATGATCAAATTTCTTACTTCAACATTAATTTCATTGTCTTTGTGCGTTGTTCATTTCAGAGTTTTAAAAAATTAAAGAGAAAACGGGCTTAAATTGTATAATAGGAAGTTAAAATAAATGAAGCATTAAAAGCAAAACTATTTATCGTGGCAAAGAAAAAACCGTCAGGTTTTTTCTTTGCCACAAAAAAGAATATAAAAATGAATATTTCAAAGTATACAAATCTTATTAATGATTTCTTTTAAACTGCTTTGTTTTTTTGTTTGTTTATTTTTTTGTTTTTGCCTTTTTACATTGAAAAGTTTTTGGTTTTAACACTATTTACCTTAATTAAATTTTGATTTTAACACTATTATAGGAGTTTAATATTGTAAAAACATAATTACAACGGTTCTTGATTGTAAGACATAATGGTCTTCTGCAAGTTTCCCGCGTTTTTATTTATTTTTGTATAACTTACTCTTATTATTTTGTCTTTGATTTTTTATATTTATAACTGGTTTATTTTTGAAAGAATAAGAGTATCTGGTATTATATTACGGAACTTAATTGTAACAAAAACGGAAAATTAAATAAATAAAAAAAAAAAAAAAGGTTGAATGCAAAAAACTGCCAGATTAAATGAAAAAAACCACCAGAGTAAGTGCAAAAACCGGGAAACGATATATCAATATAATAGTTGTTTGGCATTCTATCAATTTCAGAAAAATATTTTTAAAAAAATTTATTTTTTGCGTGAGATTTTTTCAAGGGAGATTTTTCCTTAGGTCGATTTTTTCCGCAAAAAAGGAAAAAATTTCCCACACAAATGAAAATAGCCAAAAAACAAACTGCATAAATTAGAAATAATACGAATAAGGATCTCTCACAAACAGGTTTGAATGTACATTGTTTAGTTTTTTTTTGATATGCACGAGGATATCAAAAAAAAACTGAGTTATTATTTTTTGAACTTTGAAAAAAGGATTTGTAACCTAAAATTTAACTTTTAATACGAGTTAATTTTACTTCTTTGCTGGGCCCATTGTGCGTCGGTTTTAGTAGATATAGTACTAATCAGATAGCATACTATTAAACATCTTATATTATTTTATTAGAATTTTAAATTTAAAGTTTTAACTAAAAATATATATTTTAGATAACAATTACAAAACTAAAGTTAAAATGCAATATTTAATAAAAACAATCAATAACTAATATAAAACATAAAATAAAAAGGTTTGATGCAGTTCCGGTTAAGAAAGCTGAGTTTTTGTAGGTTTTGGATAAATAAGTTGTATTCTGGGTTGCATTCTGGGTATTTTCGAGAATAGGAGTTAAATAAGATGTTGAGTTATTTCCCGATGTAATGTTCTTGTTAAAAAAATTAGAGTTAGGGTAATTGAGAACACTTGTAAACACTTTTCTTCCGTTTATGGGCTGAGTCGGTCGGTCAGTGTTTGTTAAATTCTCCAACCAAACAGAATTGCTTGTGTTATGTAAGCGACCTTTCAACAATCGAAAAGAAAGAAGCTGTAAGATATTAAAAAAATTTAATATAGTATTGGTTTAACTAAATAACTAATTACCTGAATTAAAAAAAAAAAAAAAAAAAAAGTAAAGTTATTTAAAATCAAAAACAAGTATTGAAGAGACGTTTTATAAATACTCTAATAAACAATAAAATGTATCTACAAAGATCATTTTGAAAGATTTTGTTCAGCTTATCAATAATATAGCTTTAACAATTATTTAAAAACTGGATTCAGTATCACTTGACAGATATGTTATGCATACACTCTAAAACTCGAATCTGTTAATTATGCAAACTGTATACTAGAGGACTATTAGTTTAAAAAAATTTGAGGAACGTTTTATATGTATTTTATATAAATTTATCTAATATTTGAAAATCAATTATATTTCCTGACTAACTATCTAATTATTTCTTTGTTTAATTATTTCTAGACATCCTAGTTAGAAACAGAGCCATTTGTAAAGAGACCACTCTTCATAAACACTCTGCAGGGGTTATGGTTTGGGATGCTTTGCTAAAAATTGCAATGATTGGAGCCTGGGAACAAAAAAGCTCTAAAATTTTATCTGCTCTAATTTAAATTTAAAATTTAGCTATTTAAAAATTAGCTGCACTAATTTAAACTTAAAATTTTACCTGCCCAAATAATGAGAGCAACAAGTTGATAAAATATTTTTTCTACTATTTTCAACCAAGTATATTTTTTTAAAACTAACACAATAATCTCTTAGTATTCAACAATTATAGTCTCATAAAATTTGCAGCCCCCACAAATTGAGGGGGGTTCAAACTTTTTATGGTAATAGTTTTTGAACGCTAAAAGATTTTTGTGTGAATTTTAAAATTCGTTGATGAATATAGATTTAGTTAAGAATAATAAAAAAAATATTTTATTAACTTGTTGCTTCACGTTTGAGACAGGTGTAGCTAAAATATTAGGGTTTTTTTGGTCCCAGGCTCCAATCATTGCAGCTTTTTGCAAAGCATCCTTATTTGATAAAAGTATATATATATATATATATATATATATATATATATATATATATATATATATATATATATATATATATATATATATATATATATATATATATATATATATATATATGTATATATATATATACTTTTATCAAATAAGGATGCTTTGCAAAAAGCTGCAATGATTGGAGCCTGGGACCAAAAAAACCCTAATATTTTAGCTACACCTGTCTCAAACGTGAAGCAACAAGTTGATAAAATATTTTTTTTTATATGTATATATATATATATATATATATATATATATATACATATATATATATACACATATGTATATATATATATATATATATATATATATATATACATATATATATACACATATGTATATATATATATATATATATATATATATATATATATATATATATATATATATATATATATATATATATATATATATATATGTATATATATATATATATATATATATATATATATATATATATATATATATATATATATATATATATATATATATATATATATATATATATATATATATATATATATATATATATATATATATGTATATACAAACTAAAGTTTAATGTTGTTTACAAATTTTTATGCGCTGACTGTAATGCCAGTTATATTGAAACAACCTCCAAACATTTAGCAACTAGGATAAACAAGCACCTTTAAATTAATAAAAATTTCCATACATATAAACATTCAAATACATCATTAAATTGTAAATATCTAACTTTAATTTATTTGAGATTTTAGATACTGCTCCAACCAAACAAATGAAAAGAAAATAAAGCTTTCAATTAAATGGATATTATTGTATACTTTTCATTAAAATTAAGTCTTCCATTGATTTAAAATTACAGCTTATTTTATATTAATTATATTGATTGGATAAATTTATTTTTATAATCATTTTGCATTGAGTATCAGTCAATATCCTTTAATACTTGTATGTGTATATATCCCGGTGGGAAATGAGCTAGCGACTAGCTAGCTTCATAGCGATTTTCAAGCGATTTTTTTTTTTAATTTTTTGCAAATGTATTTAACATCTTTAAAATTCAATTTTTAGTGTTGAGTCTGTTATAATTATGAAAATAATTGAACTTTAAACATTGCGATTTTGTAGCAATGTGTCGCTAGCTACATATCGTAGCTTTGTAGCTAGCCACAAAATATCTACAAATCTATAGCTGGTTGATAGCTACATATCAAAATTTTTTAGACAACAATTTTATTTCGATATGACGCTAGGTACAATAGCCAGTGGATCTTCAGCTTATTAAGCTAGCTGTCCTCTAAGCCAATCGCTGTCTTTATCTTTAAATATATATATATATTTAAAGATATATATATATATATATATTTAAAGATATATATATATATATATATATATATATATATATATATATATATATATATATATATATATATATATATATATATATATATATATATATATATATATATTATCTATGCATATATCTGGTAATAAACACAAACAAGTGTATCCTTGAAGAGTGAAACATGATTGTGACGATTTTAGAGTTGTCATAAAATTTGTACAAAAATAAAGCTTGAAATTAGTCATGCTTACGTATCGCATTTTATATTTGTTAATACTTACGTATCATCAAAACTAATAACATTAAAAACATTAAAAAAAGTTATTTAATGTTGAAATAATTATTTTAAATTATTTTATATAGTGTTGAAATAATTATTTTAAATTATTTTATATAGTCTTAAAATAATTAATGAACATTATCAATTTAATAAGACTATTTTTTTGAATATTTATAGCTTAAAATATTTGTTTTTTGATGGTTATCTGTTGCCCACAAAAAATAGTACCACCATTTTAGTACACACCATGTGCAATTTGGTAAAATATCACATTTGTATACATTTACATATATCAAATTTGGTATACATATATCATAAATATATCAAATTTGGTAAGATATCATATGCTGTTAAAATCATTGATCTCTATTCATGCCCAGAAGAAAAAATTATTTTCCTAGCTTATTGCAAAAACAAAAAAAACTTTGTCAAACTTGATACATTAAAGTCGCAGACCAATGTTTTTAAAGTTATTTGTTTCCCCAGTGAAACAGACACCACTATTGTAGAGATAAAGATTAAAAATAATATCGATGGCAAATTTATTCTTCTAGAAAACATTTCCTATAATGATATTGGCGTAGCAGGTATTTGGTTTTTTTTATTTGCTTTATTCTTTCCTTTATTTTTTAATATTCATTAGTTAAGATCTGACGAGTGCAGGCAGAAAAAAAAAGTCATATAGTCCCGTTGAATCATTTACATAATAAACAAATAATAAGCTATTATGTAAAAAAAAAGTATTAGTATCTCTTTAAAGTAATATTAAATATTTTTCGATAAAACTTTTTTTTTCTTCCTGAATACAATACAATTTAAAATAAAAATAAATAAATAAAATCTAAAAATAATTAATGATGTAAAGAGTAATATCGCCTTTTAACATAAGAAAAAGTTGAAAAATAAAAAAGAATAAAATAAAAATTAGAAATAAAATAGAATTTGAGATACGTCATAATCAAGTAACTTTTTTTAAAGGTACTTTTATAAGTTTTAATTGAAATAGTAGTTTTACTACTTTTTGCGAGTTCCACAAATGTAACCCTTGGTTTTTTATTGAGAATTCGGATTGTTTAAACAAAGCTTTTGGTACCTGATATTTAAGCAACAAATGCTTTGTTTGATATTTATGATCTATAATAAAGAAAAAGTCTTTAAAAATATTATACATGAATAAAAGAATATTACAAATATTAAATTAATAAACATTCATCACTGCAAGTTTTCTAAGAAGTGGATTGGCACTAATGTATTTATTAGGATTTAATAAAAGGAGGTTTGCTTGTTTTTGTTTTTTTAATAAATAGATTTTAAACAGTTTTTATCTAATATATATCTAGTTTTATACATGAATCTTATTTATAAGTTTTATACATAATGTTTTCTTTCCAACTTATTTGCTCATCAATTAAAACGCCTAAGAATTTAATACAGAGAATCCGTTGCGACGAGAGTATTTTTGCTTTTGGTGAGGTTCAGAGATAGTTTGCTGGCTTTAAACCACTCATTGAGGTTGTCAAGTTCACAATTCATAGTGGTAAAGATTGTCGTAATGTCAGAGTGGGTATAAAAAACTTGAGTGTCGTCAACAAAAAGATTGAAAATAAGTATACTAATAATAATTAAATATTGTTGATAAAATAAAAATAATAATAATAATAATAAAGGCCCTAGAATAGATCTCTGTATAACTCCGCAGGTAATGTTTTCTAATTTAGTATAGGTTTTGTCACAAGATACAAATTGTTTGCGAATTTTAAGAAAGCAACAAATCCATTTAAAACTATTATTTTTGACTCCGTAACTTTTAAGTTTGTACAGATTATCACGGTCTACAGTATTAAAGGTTTTCGAAAAGTCAATAAACACTCCAAGAGTATATTAGTTGTTTTCAAACCTATTAAAAATTTCTTTAACTAATTTAACTACTGCGTGTTCTGTCGAGTGCTCTTTTTTAAATCCGTTCTGATTAATATTTAATAAGCAAAAACATGCTTTCAGAATATTATCTAATGTAGACCGTTTTACACACTCCTAAATAACTATTTATAAAGCTAAATATACTCACCGTCTACCAAATAAACATTTATCATCTTTTAACTTTTATGTTCAAAGTTAATTCAAAAATAACACTTAACATTTTTAATTTATTTTTCAAAATAAATAAGCACAGATACTTAACCAGATACTCAAACAACACTTATATTCAGTCTAAAAGTTTTTTTTGCAGCAACAGAGTTTTCAATATCTATTAAAGGACCAAAAGTATGAGTAAAAGCAGTAATTAAAACAAAAAAATTTTGAATCTATTTTTAGACTGTACCCTTTGCCTCTTAATTAAACTTATTTATCTCTGTCAAAGCTCCATCTATCCTTTAGTTTGAACTTTTATTTCTTTAATCTGGATTTTAAACTATAAACTATATAAAATCATTCTTTTTAAAAGCCTCTCACTTTTATTAATCTTAACTCTTATCAACAACAACAGTAACAATAACAATATATATTCTGAAATAAAAGTTTACATTTCATGGTTGTTTACTAATAGTACGAGTACTAATCTAAGGTAAACACCAATTAAATAGTAATAGCAATCATATAAAAATAATAATGAAAATTAAATGAAGACGATTATAATAATATCAATAATACTATTAAATAGAATAATGACAATAATAATAATTATATTAGTAATTATAAAAACAACAACAATAATAATAACAATAACAACAATAGCAATAATAACATTAATAATATTAACAAGTATCACATTTATATATTAAACAATTTTAATAAGTAATAATGACGGTAATCAAAATGTAAATAAAATGTAAGTAATATTAACATCACATATAATAATAATACTAATAACAATAGTAATAATAATCTATTATAAGCCTAAGATTTTAATTTTTCTATCAAATTTTTCTATCAAAATTTCTATCAGTATTTTTCTATCAAAAAGTCAAAAAGACGGGTTTTAAATTGTGAAAAAGAGTCGAGGGATAGAAAATGAAAAGGTTGTTATTCCACGATTTTACGCATTGGTTTGTAATAGAATTATCACCGCATTTTACCGAACAGCGTTTTGGGATAGATAATTTAAAGTTACTCAAAGTAGTGTTAAATTTCCGCAAAATTTTCACCATAATATTTTGAGGAACAAGTAACAGAAAAAGTAAGAAACAAAATTTTGCGGAAATTTTCAACACTAACTCAAAGATCGAAGGTAATAACGAGAACTTTTTTTAGTGGTAAAAAAATTGAAGAATGACGGAGGGAGGTTTACTTGTTTATGATTCCAGACAAATAGACAATTTAATAAATAAACAAGATCACATAATTTGAGTATTTTTGATAGAAAGTAAAGAATGTCAGAGTTAAAATGATACTGTTGAAAGAATATTATTTTTAAAGCTTTGTTTTGTAGGTTACATAACCTTAAAAAAGCATTAGACTTGCTTTGTCCTCAAACCTGACGAGCGTATCTAAGATGAAATCCAAAAATTGCATGGTAAATATTAAGTAGATTTTCATAGTTGACATAGTGGCGAATTTTGGCTAGCACCTCATTTGATCTACACAATTTTACTGCTAAGTTTTTAAGATGAGAGGAAAAAGATAGATCTGAGTCAATTTGGATTACAAGATATTTTAATGAAACTACGGGAAAGTTTTTTTAAAGAAGGTTAAATAAATCATGAATAATATGTTTGTTAACTTTTTTTAATGATTTGTTTGTTATGAGTAAGTTGGTGTCGTCAGCAAAATGGTAAAACTTGAAAATTTTTTAGAGATATCAAGATCATTTATAAAAATAAGGAAAAGCAATGGTCCTAATACAGAGCCTTGGGGTACACCCGTGGAGCATTTATTTGGAAAAGATTTGACATCACTGATGGATACAAATTACGATTTATTAAAAAGATATGATGAAAACTATTGAAGAGTATTACCTCGAATACCGTAGTGTTCTAATTTCTTTAAGAGGATGGAGTGGTGCAACAGAATCAAAGGCTTTCTCTAAGTCAAGAAACACTCCACATGCAAAAAGTTTATTATCAAGAGCATTTCTAATAGTTTCAGTTATTTTAATAAGTGCATGAGTTATGGAATGTTTGTTATGAAATCCATGATGATGTTTGTAAAGACATTAATTTTGTTAAGAAAGCTATAAAGTCTGTTGTACATGGCTTTTTCAAATATTTTACTAATGTTAGATAGAAGAGAAATTGGTCGATAATTTCTGTGGTCCATTAGAGAACCCTTTTTATGGATAGGAATAACTTTAGCTATTTTAAAAACATCTGGAAAAAGACCTTTATTAAGAGAATTATTCAATATGGTACAGAGAGGCGTGGAAATAACATGAGAAGAAAGTTTAAGAAGGTATGTGGGGATACTATTTGGTCCTAAACTTTTACCATTTTGTGAACCATTTTTTATTAAATTAGACACCTCATTTTCAGTCACTGGATTAAGAAAGAAAGAATTAGAATAAGCATTTTTTAAATAGTCAGAAAAGATACATTTAGAAGAAATCATTTTACTTTTGGGTGGATTTCATAGTATTTGTTAAAAATGTTAGCAACAGTCATACTGTCTGAGATAGTGTTACCATTAGACTTGAGAGTATAAGTTTTAATTGGTGTAGAGTGTTTGATGTTAATAATTTCTTTTATTCCTTTCCATCTATTTTTTGTATTCTTGAGTTTTTTTGTTAAAAAAGGAGATGTAGTATGACTTTTTGAAAATTCTTAATCTCCTTATTTAGTTTTATTATTTTTCTTAATCTATTTTTTGTTATATTCTATTTGAAGTGATTTTTTTTTATATTAATCCCTTATCTCCTTCAATTGGATTACCATTCTCTCTTTGCCTAAATTTTGTATTTCATTCAAGCTGAACTCGTTTGGAGTAGTCTTGAAACAAAAATATGTTTGATAAAGAGAGCGCTAAAAACGTCTCAAAGAAAATATACTGCACAATATGAGATTTTTTTGTCCTCATTAATTTTTGAACGGAAGTTTAATTATAAAAAAAACAATCTTATATCCACTGAATTTGTTGTAAAATATTTTCACTAGGTCAATCAAAAAAATTTATGACAGTAAAAAAAGTTATATATCTGCATTCACTTTTAGAGTTACAATAGTCTGCGTGGTGAGCAAACTAAATGACGTTATTACTCACAAATTTATACATTTTGGATAACTTTGGTTTACTTTGAATGAGTTTATTAAAACAACATTTAAAAAAAAACAAATTTCCTAAAATTGAGATAAGTTAAGTATAATATTTTTAAACTTGTTTTTGCCATAAAACCTTTAATTGCCATCAAACTTTAAACTATTTACACAATTATATAGATTTGCCATAAAACCTTTAACTGCTATCAAACTTTTAAACTATTATACACTCCAACTGAGAAAAATTGAGCTGTTAGACTAAAAAAAATAAAACAATTAACTTTTTTTATAAAATGTTTGATAACCTGATCTGATGAAACACTAATCATTTTGTGATTAACAATCCACATGACAGATTCAGTACAATCTGGTGAAGTTAAAGATCCTTCATAGTGATAATAACTTCCAGTTGAATTTTCTGACACAAATGATGAAAGTGGCAAAGGTTTAATGTAAGTTTTGTTTTCTAAAAAAATATAAATATTTATTTATATAGAAGCTCAGTGATGCAGTCAATTGTTTGCAAATTTAATTAGAAACTAATATGTAATAGCTAGTAAACTAATATGCAATACTGCATACTAGTTTACTAACTTATATATTATATTACAACTCAGCTGCTGAACTTGCCATATAATTAAATAACTTGACAATAAGTTTTTGCTTTATCTATGAATTTTTGAGGAAGACACGTTTTCTTTTTTTGTTGTTCATTTTGTTTTTCTGAAGCTGATTTAAAACAAGTGTTTAGTTATTGACAAATTTTCTCTTTTTCTAAAAGTATAGTTGTGTCGGTTTACGTGTTTTTTAACTAAATTCAAAATATTAAGTAATCAAGCAAAAATTAACTTCACCAGCATTAATTATTTTATCAATATTGTTGAACACGTCTTGAAGTAGAGTATTGGATGTCTCGCTTGAATTGCTTGTCTAATAAAATAAAGTTACATTTAATTATTAACGCAACATTTTATCACCAAATAAATTGGAATCGTAAAAAAGTTTGAGGTTAGCAAGTTTTTCTAAATTCATAACAATTTTCTACTTTATCCACAAACCACAAACAAATTTTTAATTAAGATATATAAAAAATCATAAATCAAATTAAAAAAAAAAAAAAAATTAACAAACATATTAATCACTATTTATCTAACCTTCTTTAATGGCTGCTAACAAACTAAGTCTTAATACCAACAAAATCATAAATAAATTTGTAAGAACCTGAAAAACACTGCTCCAAACAAGTATTCCATCGCTGTAGTTAAGGGCACGGTCAAAATCTCCATAATCATTCAGGTAATGAACAATATGTACCTATATTAAAATAAAATCTCCATAAATATTTAAATAGTGAACAATATGTACTTATATTTAATTAAAAGAAAAATACAAATCTGTATAGTAGTGTCATATTATCAGACTGAAAAAATTAATTCAATTTTTTTTTGATTTTCTTTAGTTGGTAGGAGTTATAGCTGCTTACATTTTGTTATTTACACATAATTTAAGTTCCAGCTGCTCTTTTGTTTTAGATTAAAAACATTACAAAAAATTATATATAGTTTTAAATAATCTTTACCGTTTAATAAAGATATTTTTTTAAAATATAAAATAAAAAATATTCAGTTGATTTTATTTGTCATAACTTAATTATATGTCATTTCCCAGCGGGCACAGACGTGAATCAAACGTCTTACGGACGTCTTAACTAGGTCGCGACGTCTCAGACCAAATTAGGACGTCCTAAAGACGTCTGGTAAAGACGTCTTTGTTAGGACGTCCTTGTGACGTTAATATAAAGACGATATCAGGACTTGAATATTTAGACGTCCTATTGACGTCGCTAAGACCTACATAAGACGTCCTAATTACCTTAAAAATAAGTAAAAAAATTAATACTATCAACTTAGCGCATACAATATTATGCGCAAACTCGGTTATATAAATATGTCTACTTGTTTTGGTTGATTATTTTAAGACTATTATTTTGTTTAGTTATTTATCGTTTAAAGATATTTTTTAATTTTCTATATTCTATACTCTATGATCTATAAACTATAATCGATACAATATTTAAAAAAAAGAGTAACTAAGTTACAAGTATAATAAGGGAATTTTAACAAAAGACATCAAAATTGCACGAAGACTTTTCACTTTGTGTTTTATAGAATAGTATTGATATTTTTGTGTGTCTGTGTTATATATAAATTAATATATACATATTAATTTATATATATATATATTAATTTATATATATATATTAATTTATATATATATATTAATTTATATATATATATTAATTTATATATATATATTAATTTATATATATATATTAATTTATATATATATATATATATATATATATATATATATATATATATATATATATATATATATATATATATATATATATATATGCAAAGATTTATAATATCTTGGCTGTAGAAATAGGTAAATGGATAAATAAATTGTATATATTTTGTTGTTCCTGTGTTGTTTCATTTAATTTGATGTATAATTATTTATATATACATGATTTATACATTATATTATAATGTTTATATGATGCATACATATTCATTATATACATATATATATATATATATATATATATATATATATATATATATATATATATATATATATATATATATATATATGTATATATATATATATATATATATATATATATATATATATATATATATATATATATATGTATAAATATATATATATATATATATATTTATCTTTATATTTACATTTATATTTACATTTATCTATATATTTACACTTTATATTTACATTTATCAATACACACACATGCACAAACTTACACACACACACACACACACACACACACACACACACACACACACACACACACACACACACACACACACACACACACACATATATTATATATATATATATATATATATATATATATATATATATATATATATATATATATATATATATATATATATATATATATATATATATTATTTTATAAACATCAATAAATACGATTTTCTCTCAATACTAAATTTATTTTTTATTCTTTATTTTTTAAAAGAAATTTTCACTGGATTGTTGTGACCAGCGTCTTCAGCTTGAAAGATTTTGTTTGTTTTTGTTTATATGTTATTTTAAAACGGCAATTTTATTACATGTCAATGGAATGGTTTCGTCTTTTTCTGACGTGAGTGCATTAGAAATGGTGTCCAGAATTTTGTTGACACATATTGTCTCTCATCTAAATTGATACCACTTTGTTGAGAGGCACATTGGTGGTACTGTATTTCAAGCGCCTCACGAACTTTCCTATCAAACTTTTTTATCAAACTTTTTATTATTGACTTTTAGAGTTCTGCAACTGTCCCAGTTAATTTGTTGTGCACAATGTTTCATGTGTGTGGCTAATGCTGATCTTTCTGTTTTATTTCCTATTGTACTGTTTTTGTGTTGTTGCATGCATGTTTTTATTTGCATTTTTTTTTCACCAATATACTTTTTGTTACAATGGCACTTAATAAGGTAAACTCCTGGGTGGCTGTTCCTTTGTAGTTTGGATTTATTTCTTGATTTATTTCTTGAAAGTGCCAAAAATGTTTCTGTTTATTATTACCCTTATATGGTGCTTTTAGTAATGCTGCAATTCTGAAACTTGGTACAAAAGATTTAAAATTATATTAGATTCCAAAAGAGCTTAAAACCTGCTAAGCCCGAAAACTTTAGTTATATATATTTAAAAATAATATATAAACAAAAACAAACAAAATCTTTTAAGCTGAAGACGCTGGTCACAACAATCCAGCGAAAAATTCTTTTAAAAAATCAAAAATCAAAAATAAATTAAGTATTGAGAGAAATCGTATTTATTGATGTTTATAAAATAATAATTTACATACTCTCATACATGATGTCTACATTTAAAATATATATATATATATAAATATATATATATATATATATATATATATATATATATATATATATATATATATATATATATATATGTATATAAATGGATATATATATATATGTGTGTGTGTGTTTGTGTGTGTGTGTGTGTGTGTGTAAGTTTGTGCATGTGTGTGTATTGATAAATGTTGTATACTATTCGAAATACATCTCTAAAAGGGAAAAAAAATTATTTTACTATTGCTTTGATTCCGCTGAGTATCGGATATATATATATATATATATATATATATATACATATATATATATATATATATATATATATATATATATATATATATATATATATATATATATATATATATATATATATATATATATATATATATATATATATATATATATATATGCTAAGATTTGTAATATCTTTGCTGTAGAAATAGGTAAATGAATAAATAAATTGTATATATTTTGTTGTTCCTGTGTTGTTTCGTTCAATTTTATGATCTTTCCATCTCTGGTTGTATAAATAATTATTAAGATTATTACTTATGTTGACACCTAGTTACTGTGTGGTTTCATTTAATTTGATGTATTATTATTTATATATACATGATTTATACATTATATTATGTTTATATGATGCATACATATTCATTATATATATACATATATATATATATATATATATATATATATATATATATATATATATATATATATATATATATATATATATATATATATATATATATATATATATATATATATATATATATATATATATATATATATATATATATATATGTATATATATATATATATATATATATATATATATATATATATATATATATATATATATATATATATATATATATATATATACATATATATTCTTATAAGGTTAAGCATGAAACTTGAGATTTTTTGCATTATTTAGTTTAAATCTACCTCTTCTCAACCATATATAGGAATTACTATTTACTACTTTATATACTATTTATATGGCTTTACTTATATATTTTATTTTTCAAAGTTTCAGAAAAAATTTATATTCTAACTTGCTGAAATAAAAAAATTTTAGTAGATAGAACTGCACTGTTCTCTAATAATCCAGAAGAAGGTTTTAAACAACGTAAAAGTTCAGATAAACTTAATGTTTTGAAAAAAAAATTTGCAAATGGAGATATCCAATACATCACTTTTGTATACATGAGTTTCATCTTTAAAGTTTGTATGATATATATTATTACAATATTTATTTTAAATTGTCATAAACATTTTCAATGTTTCTTATACATTGTTTCTTTTTAGATAAAACAGTTATCATTAATTGGCGATAAAAATCTAGCTGATACAATTAAAAATATTTTGCTCTTGTAAGTAATTAGCAAAAGTTTGAGTTTTAACATTTATGATTGACAGTAGAGCATTTATCTTCTTTTTTATATATGTAGACTGCCAACAGACACTATTTTGTCAGAATACAGCATGAATTGTCTAAAGAAGAAAAAAAGTTTAAAGAGTTGACAAGTCTATGTAACGCTGTCACTGGTATTCTTATTAGCTTATTGTGTTTGATTAATTAAAAATTAAAAATGATGTTTTAAAAAAAAAAAATTTTTTAGGCTCTGGAACATGACATGTATTCAAGTGTATGTATAACATATATGTTTTATTTTATAATTTTATTGAAACATGTTTTGTTGTTTTTATTAGAAGCTGCTTTAAAGTCAAATAAAAACTTAACCAAAATGGATGCTATCCAACTTATTGGGAGAGTAGTTAGGCATTCTTCTGACCAAATAAAGAAAACATCGACTAATATGGATTTCGATCAATGTTGGCTTAATTAACTGTTGTATTTTTTTTCCATTTTTAAGCAATTTTCTTCTATTTATAATGCACTATCGATTATATTCTACAGTACCTATTAGTTTTTAATTTGAAAAATTTAACTTTTTTGTTTGAAAAATTATTCTTAATTTTTATAAAGTTATTAATTTATTTTAAATATATCAAATTACACTTTATTTACATTGATTTCCTTTTATAACTTCCCTTGCCTAGATTAAGGCCAATCTAAGGTGTGTGTTGTAAATCATTGCATTTTTATATAACTTTTAAAAGAATGTCTTGGTAAAATTCAAACGTCTCTAGGACGTCTGAAAAAGACGTCCTTAAGTCATTCATATGAGACCAGCCAGAGACGTCTCTAGAACGTCTGCAAAAAACGTCTCTAGGACGTCTTTAAAAAACGTCTTTTGGACGTCCGGAATGGACGTCCTCAAGCCTTTCATTTGAGACCAACTAAGGATGTCTTACGGACGAGACTTAAGACGTCTTACGGACGTTCTTAGGACGTCAAAATGCCCGCTGGGTTG